CCCGGGCAGCATCACCACATGGAAGCCCCTCTCAGCGTTCTGTGACGCGCTCCCCAGCTTGACTGAGGAAACACAAAAGACTGAGGGAGGAGAGGAGGGTCTTTTAAGCAAATTAAGTGACGTGTTTCCTGTGTGTGGGGGAGGAGATTCCATCTCGTGATGCTGTCCTGGAAGACGTTATGGGAAAAGTCCTTTGACTGCAGAGGGACTGGGATGTGTGAGGGAGACACAGGAGCTGCATCTGCACCATCTTGTCTCCCTGCTGTCCTGTGAGTAGGATAGTAGTCTGAGCCTGCAAGGTCCTTTCTGCTTATTCTTTCCCTTAGACATGCTGATCAATGCAGCGGGGAGTAGAACAGGCAGGTTAGGAGATCTAAGTGGTGTGTGGCTGCGGTGAGTCGCTTACTGAGGGATCTCGTCGGGAGCCTCAGATCATGCAGCAATCTGTCTGTGGCCAAATCAGGCCCCCCCCCCCAATGTTATTTTTGTCCACACACGAAATGCATTTCAATGTACTCCTATGGAATTTGGCTCTGTTCACACCAGTGCGGGTAAAAATGCTGCAAGCAATATATTTTCTGCTTGGAATGCAACGCACGCATGCACACACTAAGCTTTAAAAGAAAATGCACATGCACAAACACACTGTACTTGCAGATCTAATCCAGACATTGTGTGAGCAAGCCCTAAAAAGTGAAAATATCACATTTAAATTTACCAATTTGAATTGATATTGTAATCCATCACAGGAGTGAGCTTGAAGTGGTGGCTACTTAACATAGGGACCATGTGGAAACAAAAAGGGTAGCCAACCCCCAGAAGGAAGGACCGTGTCAGCACCAATTCAGAGAGGATATGAGGATCTACAGCCGAGTGATACACCAATAAGATACATTTTTGTTGGGGTACACATTTTTAAAATTTAACTCTAGTTTAGCATCACATTAAAAATGTTCACTACAACTCTTCTTATGCGTGTACTAAATGCAATCTAAGCAATCTTCCCATAAGATCACATGTGCATTTTAACTATAAAAACAAATCCTCCTTTGTGTAGGCATCCAAAAACCCCAAGACAGCAGCTGACATCTTGGATATGATGTCAGAAACTCCATCAGAACTCAGCTATCAATTTAATTACTATTAACCTTTTGATGTAGCTCTGCATGGAAGGGTAAGTAGAGGGGCAGGGGAGATGGGCTACAGTAGACACTCCTAGAAGAGGGCCAGTTGTGCAGCAAAGTAGGGGGCTATAAAAAAACCTGCAAGTAACCATTTACAAATTGCAGGTAAAAATATAACATTTTGAAGTTGACAACAGGGTCTGTTGAAAGGATATCAGGGGAGACTGGATTCAGTTATGAATATCAGGGATGCTTCTGAAATTAAATGTTTTATAGACTGCTGCATTCACCAGTGGTCTGACAAAGACTTAAAGGCAGACCTTCACCCCCCTCATTAAAAATGCATGCCGATATCAAACCTTAAAATTTGTCTTGCTGAAAGCAAGATTAAGGGGGGACAGGATTTTGATGTACAAAATGCAGGGGTGATGGCAACATCACCAATATACTTTTTACTGTAAACTCTAACAGACTAGAGGCTGCCGCCTAAAATTGCTGGAGAACAGATTTAACCACACAGGGCATAGGGGCTTCTTTTCAGTCAGAGTGGTTACATTTTTCAGCAGAGAATATGGATTCATTCAAAAATCAATTAGTTACTGTCCTAAGAGACCATAAAAATACATGGGTACAGGTACTCTTAAAAACTAAGACCAAAATACCTGGTCCCCGTGGATAGACAAATTTTTGGCCCCGGGCACCCCCCGACGATTATGCTCCATTTAAACTAATCTACCGCCCCACTCTTATACACGCTCCCCTCGCGCCTGTGTACAGACAGACCCACTTTTTCTTCCTCTTTTCACCCCCCCCCCCCCTCTCTTCAAAAACTAAGACCACACAGGAACTCATTCTACACATGCACAAACAACAACTATGTAACCCCCTTAAGGACCGATGACAGAATTGTTCAGTCACGGTTGCCTGTGCCATAATGACCCAATTACTGAATTCCGACACGAGTCCTTAAGGGTTTAAGCTTCTATCATATGCTAAATGAGAACTTGTATATGCTGGTCACATCAAATTAAAGCCCTTTTTGTCCTTTAAAAATTGTGTTGTGCAATAAATTAGATATATGGAAATCGTGTTTGACCATACAGCAAAAATTGCTTTGGTCCTTAACTGAATTACAAGCATCGGAAGCTTGGTCCTTAAGGGGTTAAACATTTTGCTTACAACTACTGTTCCACTTCTGGGTCCTCTTAAAAGGGGTTCTAACGCCTCCTGTTTTTTTGCCTATATCTATGGCTAACAAGCAGTAGATATAGGCAAAAAAAAATTTTTTTTTAAACGCTTAAACAGCGGTTTAGACTGACATTATTGCTGCGCGCTCCTGCGGCGAGAGTCCAGAACTGTCCGAGCGGCCGCAAAGGATCTTGGGGCGGGCGCATGCGCAGTTCGGATTCTCAGCCGGGACACGAGCAGAGACACAAGGTAAGCCTATGGACGCGTGCACCCGCATGCAGACACCGCTAGATCGGAAGTGCCTGTAAGCAGAGAGGAGACAGCGCTGGATCAGAGAGCAGCCGCACCGCTGGAGGGACAGATGAAAACATGGGGAAAGAGGAAGATAGGATTAAGAGACATCATTTAAGGTAAGTGCTGACATTAAAATGGGGGGGTGTATCCTTTAATGTCACTTTAAGCATTATTGATTTAATCCAGGCTTGAGATGCACTGCAGGAAAATCTCTTCTGTAAACTGCAAAATCTCACAAGGTTTCCCTCCTAGATCATTTCATACAATCATGCAGAGCTGTATGATGTGATTTTTAGTCAAAGGGGTGGGTAAAGGATCCACTTTAAGCTGGGGGACTGGGACACCGTAAGAAAAAAAAACAAAAAACTGACTTTAGTACATGCAATACTAAATTCCATTCCTCTACAAAATAGTAATTACAAAAGTTCCAACTAAAAGAAATGAAATTACCTTGCTGCCAGAAACATTATGAAACTTCTTTTCCAAGATCTTTTTTACAGGTTCCTCCTCTTTAAATGTAATGAAAACAAAGCCTCTCCGTTTGTTAGTTTTTGGATCCATTGGCAGTTCAATTGATTCAATCTGGAAAGTTATGGGGGAAAAAAAAAAACACAACATTCATTAACCCATCAGCCACTCTGAAAATATACCCGAGCAGGCACAAGTTGCATGTGTTTACTGGCAGTAATCTCAAATGGTTTGCACTTTACCCTGACCAAGCTGGGATATACGCCACTAGTGACCAGAACTACTCCCTACAGTTGCCTTCATGCCTAATGTTACCATTAAAAAGGGGAATGAGAGGTTTGCAGGGCTTCGACCCAAAAGCATGTGTCCTTCACACAGACATTCCCATGCCAAAGACGACCTGTCAGTTTCAGGCGAATCTAAAAGGAAGCCCAGTTAGTCTATGGGCAGCCGGATCTAAATGAATGTGCGTCCATTGGCATTTGATAACCCCCGATTTCACCTAGGTCTGGAAAAACCCAGCAGAGTTCAGATTACCCCAATCTGCCAAGATCGTGCCTGCCAAAATGAAGTAAATGGATACCTCCGTTTACATTTGACTCCCATAGACCAACATGGGTCCAGTAATTTAAGTTTTTGCCTCCATTGTAAGAACTTACCAACCTAGGGCAGGACCACAGCTTGAAGAACCTTTCTATTCAAGGTCTGATCCCCAGGGGGCGATCAGATCCAGTTAGTAATAGATGCTAGGTTCACACCTAGGCGATTTATCACACGGATTTAGCCACGCGATATTGTGCAAAACACAGATTCCAATTGAAGTCAATAGGACCTGTTCACACCTTTGCGTTGCACGGCTGAAAGCGCATGTCGTGCAAAAAAGGTGCAGGAGCTATTTTCAGACGGTTGTGGTCCCATAGACATCTCTATCCATTGAAAACCACAGGGTTTTAAAGCAAAATTGTGCAAAAATACCATGTGACAACAGCTTAATCGCCTAGGTGTGAACCTAGCCTAAAGGCCCAGCTGCTTTAGAAATCTGGTCTGGCGAGGACACAAAAGGGAGGACAAAACATCAGCTATATTTAGAAACTTCAAGAATAAAGCAGAAGTCTATCAAGAGGGCACTGGTCTCATTCTCCTTAAAGGATCTGACAAGTGGATTCTCGGCAAGGGAAACTTCAATAAACACAGAGCAGCTACCTGAACTTTCAAAGTGCTAAGATCCAGCCCCTTAAAAAAAAAAATCTAGTATGGCTGGAACATCTGGAGTCTGGTTACGTTTACTTCTGTGTTGAAGGTTTTCCACTTTCTAGTTAATTTTCATAGTAACAGGTTTATGACTAAGCAAAAGAGTACTAATACTTCGGCAGATTGACTATTAGCTTTCAGCCCTCATGGGCCAAAAGGTAGCACTGAGGATGAGCTCTGTCTCTTCCAGAAGAAATTTCTCCAAACACCCTGGGCAACAGGTGAACTGAAGGGAAGGCATAACAAAAGATATACATTTCAGAGATTTGACAGAGCATCCACTGCTACATCTTGGATTCAGAGAGAAATTGAGCCAGTTCGGCATTCTCTCGAGAAGCAAAAAAGGTCCACTTCTGGATGACACCAATTTTCCTGGTTTAAGCGTCATTCATCCTGAGAATTTGGGAATGACAGAGGTAATCTGCCAGAACACGCCAAGAGTCCCTTTGAGGTGAACAGCTGTCGAGGTTCACTTCTGCCCAGGAGAAAACCTCCTTAGCTAATGACTGAGATTGGCTTCCGGTCCCCCCCATTTTGATGCCCTTGAGCTACCAAGCTCGCCCTCCAGCCCCAATAACTGGCATCTGTCATTAACGTCATTGAAGTCAGGAAGTCCCAGCATAAACCTCTCAATTGAATGCAGTCTCCACCACCAGAGACTCATTTTTACTGAGGGAAGTTGGACGAAGTTGGCTCTCCTCTGAACAATGCCATATCCTTAAAAGGACATTTCCACATTTGCAAAGGCACTTAAAAAAAAAAAACCCACATGCCAGCAATGTACACCTTGTGTAGATGATGCCGGCATATGCATATCCTGGATATAAACATTTAAAAAAAAAAAAAAAAACTTTTTTTTAGTTGTCCTCTCAGGCTGCACACATTTGTTTTTTTAATGGCTGCCAGACTGCTTTGTACAGTGGAAGCTACAGTGTAGGGAGTGGGGGGAAAAAAACTCCTCCCACAATGCTTTGGTTTTCTAGTGCATGTGCAGTCATTAATATTCATAGTGGAATTTCTTGGACAGGCGGACAGACACTTTAAAAGGCCTCTGGTGAAACTGTGTCCACTGAATTGCCAGCAAACAAAGTCAAGAGCCCTAAAACAGAAATTATGAATCTCAGGGAAAGGAAGATTCCCCTGTAGCTGACTGCCAAGCAGACCCTTCAAATTTTTTTCATGCAGAATGTTGCACGTATCCAGGATGTACACAAGAAAGGTCATCAACATCTAAAAGCATTTCAATCTGACTTCTGGAAGTTTATCTACCCAAGATCCTGTAAACAATTTTGGACATCAACATCTAAAAGCATTTCAATCTGACTTCTGGAAGTTTATCCACCCAAGATCCTGTAAACAATTTTTTGTGAGCAGTAAAATCTTCCAACTGGACAGCAGAAGGAGCTGACAAAAAGAACATCGCCCAGATAAGGGATAATGTTGATCTCCCAGAGTCTTAGATGAACAAGGGCCTCCCTCAGGACCTTAAAAAATATCTGGGGGCCTGAGGGAAAACCTGAAGGGAAGAGCTTTGAATTGACCATGATACATTCTTTGGCCTATCTTGACCACTAACCAAAGTAACTGTTGAGAAGCAAGGTGGATAGGTATGTGCATCCCCTAAGACTCAAGGTCACTAGAAATCCATGTTGTGCTCCTTCCGCTGGTGTCCTCGCATCCACTACTGTGGAGGGAGCACCAGAAAATACCTGCCCTGGGCTGCCCACCTTCCCCTGCGCCATAACGAGGCCTGGAACACACATGCCTCCGCACCTAATGTCACGATCACAGGCAGTGATGTACGCCATCATCCAGGCAGGCTGAAGAGCTTACACCTGGGGGTAACTAAGAGGGAGTAAAGATCCCCCCCCCACCCCACAGCATGCAGAGAAGAACGACTCCTCCGGCATTCAAGAGAGACGTTTCCGCCTGATTAAGAAAACAACCTGAGGGATACTGCAGGAGGTGGTTCTTTTCAATGAAGTACGAGTGATGCGTCTCCTGGCTGACTGGAAGAGCCAGCATCGCATTTTGTTCTGGAAGACAACCAAGGGAAATATTGGCTCAAGGGCAGGGCCACAAATTACTACTAGGTGAAGGAGGCCCACACCAAAGCTTAAAAAATGCTGATCACTGGAAAGATAGGACATGTTGGGTATACATGTTGTTCTCCAAAGCTTAAAAAAAAAAAAAACTCTCCCAATGCAGAATTTGAGCTTGAGGACCTTCAGTAATTTAGATCCAAGGTTGACAGATGCCATCTTTGGTTTTGGGAACAGTGAACAGGCTGGAGTACAAATCCAGGAACTGAGGCAATAGCTTGCTACAGAAGACACAAAACTGCTTGAGATCTGCTAATCTGTGCAGTGACAGGCAGGTGTAACTTGAGAAACCAAGGGGCCTGGAGCAAAACCATCTTGTAGCCCTTGGATACCACCACTATCTGCAACAATAATCTTAAATACAAGCAGTCCAAGGTGAACATTCCAGAAAGCAAGTGTGTGGGGTCATCTTTGACTGGGAATGTTTCCCTGAGGATTTGGTGTACTTTGCGCCCAAGACCTTCTGGTTATCTGGGAGCCATGGGGTTTGATAGGAACTCTTGCAACCAATAATTTCCTTGATAATGGCAGAAAGAATAACATTCAAAAAGAGACAAACTCCCCTCAAAAGCCAGGTGAACATGCAGGTTCTGCAGTCCATGTTTGAACAGTGTCTGTACACATGTGGAAAACCAGAGACCCGTGTGAGATTACACATCAAACCTACACATTGCTTCAAAACATTTTATATCCAACGTATCAAGTAGGGATGCACCAAAATAAAAATTTTAGACCGAAACAAAAAAATATTTGTCAGGCCGAAACCGAAACTTTCCCCCAACCTTTTTAAAAAACATTTTTTTTCTACTTTACTATTAGAGGCTTTGGGGAAATATCCGGGATCCAAACAGACCCCTGATTTATTTTAGAATAGAAAAAGATTGACAGTAGTAAATCTTTCTGCAGCCCCGTTATGAACAGGAAGTCTCTACACCAAGTGCTCCTGTCCTTTCTTGAATTGAGGCTATAGTAGCATAGTAACTGATACTATGTCCGCAATCATGAATGATCAGGAAGTGATTTAGAGCACTTCCTGCTCACAACTGGGGACACAGTAAGCATACCAGGTCTTCAGTTTTTACAAACTCAGCACTGAGTACTGCACCGCGAAAATGGCCAGATACTAAAAGATACCGGCCATTTCAATTTTTTTTATAAATTCAGCTGCCCTAAAGTCACACACTTAAGGACCTTAGGGCAGCCATCGCTGGCTGTGTCAAATTCTTGCAGTTTCCTGGGCGCAGGCACGAAGGACGTATAAAGACACGCACCCACATCCAGAAGACTCCCGTCTGGCCGTCTCTAAATGTTTGGCAGAGAGGACGTGGTTAATTGCCATCACATAGGGATTTTACAAGCCCCCTATGATAGCATATTGGTGGTGACAGGTACTCTAACTGCCTCCCATTGTACAAATACTGCCAGCTGGGACCTTCCTAGATCTGAGCGGGCGTATTTAAAAATCCCGTCAGCCACTCACACTTGCAAGCAGGAAGCTGCCCAAATTTAAAAAGACAGGCAGCGATGCCTGTTTACATACAAGCGATCCGCTGGCTATAGAGCTGTATAAAAGGTGCCGTATTAGGGCAATTAATCACTGATAACACTAAGCTGATGAGCGGTAAAAGCATCGCATCAATTTTGGGTATGGTAGTCTTTCGCGATTTCGCGGGTGTGCACAATTTTAAAGCTTAACATGTTTGGCGTCTATTTACCTGATGTGACCCTGTCTTTTATATTTTACAAAAAAAAAAGTAAAAATAATAGTATAACAATGTAAAAACAAAATGTTTGGAAAAAATATTAACTCATTTTTCCTTAAAGTAGAACTATGGGGTCAGTGTTTTTCCCCATAGTTCTCCTTAGGGTAACGGGAGGACACAAACTAGCATCCTCCCGTCACCCTAAGCTCAGTATACCGCGAGCTACAGCTCGCGCTATACTGAGACGCCGCACCTGGAGCGGATCCCGATGTAGATGACGGGATCCGCCCAGCTGCGTGAGTGACAGCTGGCTCTGCCTACCTAGAGGCAGAGCCAGCTGTACCCGCCCCCTCCCCCGTCCGTTCCGCCAGTCAGCGCTGGCAGATCGGAGCGGGGAGAGGGGAATCCAGCCCCTCCCCCTGTCACGGCAGAGAGCCGTGACAGGATCGAGAGGTAAGGGAACCCGGTATGTGTTCTCACCTCCCAAACTACTGAGCCGACCTGTGACAGTCTCATTGTCACAGGTCGGCTTAGAACTATGAGGCGAGTGGAAATCACTCATCTCATAGTTCTCCTTTAATATAGTAAAAAATAAAAATCCCAGTGGTGATTATATACCACAAAAAGAAAACTAAGTGTCCCCCAAAAAAATGGTATAAAAATTTCAGTACAGCGTTGCACGACAGGAATAAAATGTCAAAATACTGCAGCGCTAAATACTGAAAAATGGCCTGGCCAGTAAGGGGGTGTAAACACCTGGTCTTCAAGTGGTTATGGTGATACGGGGTTACAAAAAGACTCCTAGTGTCGCCTTTCTACTTCAAATAAGCTATTGAACTGCAGATTGCACTTCACTAGCTTATTGCTCGGCTTCAGAAGCTGAGCAATGACAGCTCAGGGTTCGGAAGTGATTCAATCCACGTCGCTCCCGGTCCCATAGAGCTGGAAGATATCGATGAACTGAAGTTATTCTCCCTCCTCTCCAGCTTCCTGCCAGCACCAGACACGCTGGTCCTGGGCCCATGCGAGGGGCAGCTATGCCCTGGAAATAAGTCAGGGGTGTCAGGCACCTTACTGGCCTGCAAAAGCAATCTGGCAGCAGCTGAGCCGCCAGAATGGATTCCCTTGTAAACAGTCTTCCTGATTAGCTTGCATCCCTGGCATGTACAGTTGTGGCCAAAAGTTTTGAGAATGAGACATAATTTTTACAAAGTCTGCTGCTTCAGTTTGTATGATAGCAATTTGCATTTACCCCAGAATGTAATGAAGAGTTATCAGATAAATGGCAACTACAAAGTCCTTCTTTGCCATGAAAATGAACTTAATCCCCAAAAAAACATTTCCACTGCATTTCAGCCCTGCCACAAAAGAACCAGCTGACATGTCAGTGATTCTCTCGTTAACACAGATGTCAGTGTTGAGGACAAGGCTGGATACTACTCTGTCATGCTGAATGCGTTAGAATAACAGACTGAAAGCTTTAAAAAGGAGGGTGGTGCTTGAAATCATTGTTCTTCCTCGTCTCCTAAAGTTGATCCAGCTGCGGGATCGGGGCACCACCAGTGCAGAGTTTGCTCAGGAATGGCAGTAGGCAGGTATGAGTGCATCTACACGCACAGTGAGGCGAAAACTGAGGATGACCTGGTGTCAGGAAGGGCAGCAGAAAAATCCACTTCTCTTCTGGAAAAACAATCAGGGACAGACTAATCTTTTGCAAAAAGTACAGGGATTGGACTGCTGAGGACAGGGTAAAGTCATTTTCTCTGATAAAACCCCTTTCCGATTGTTTGGGGCATCCGGAAAATACCTTGTCCGGAGAAGAAAAGGTGAGCGCTACTATCAGTAAAGCATCCCAAAACCATTCATGTGTGGGGTTGCTCCTCGGCCAAGGAAGTGGGCTCACTCACAATTTTTGCCTAAGAACACAGTCATGAATAAAGGGTACAAAAACATCCACCAAGAGCAACTTCTTCCAACCATTCGACAACAGTATGGTGACGAAAAATGCCTTTTCCAGCATGGAGCACCTTGCCAGAAGGCAAATTTGATAAGTGGCTTGGGGAACAAAACATCGAACTCTTGGGTCAATGGCCAAGAAACTCCTTAATCCCATTGAGAACTTTTGGTCAATCATCAAGAGGCGGGTGAACAAAAACAGCCCACAAATTTGGACAAACTCCAAGCATTAATTATGCAGGAATGGGCTGCCATAAGTCAGGATGTGACTCAAAAAGTTGATTGACAGCATGCCAGGGGGAGTTGCAGAGGTCTTGAAGGGTCAACACTGCAAATATTGCCTCTTTGCATAAACGTAGTGTAATTGTCAATAAAAGCCTTTGACACATGAAATGCTTGTAATTATACTTCAGTATACCATAGTAACATCAGACAAGAAGATCTTAAAACACTGAAGCAGCAGACTTTGTGAAAAATAATATTTATGTCACTCAAAACTTTTGGCCACGACTGTCAAGAGAACTTTTGCTAGGAGAAAATTACCAAGCAGACTTCACTCCTGGACTCTGCTCAGACGCTTTTGTCTGGGGGAATCAAATTGGCTGCATACTTGAATCCGCGTCCTGATGTGCAGATTCATACGTGCGAGGCAATTGGCTAGAGATTAAATTTTTCCTCTCACCACTTAGCTCTGTCCTAGATGAGCACAGGAGAGGATATTGCTAGACGCTGCATGCATAGCTCCACGCACCTCTGCTTTCCTTTGCCGCGGGCTTCACAGGCTTAAAATGTGTTCGCTGGCCGGCCGGAGGGACTTCTGGGCAGCTCCAAATATCATTTTGTTTGCTACAAAACCTTTAAGCCTCTGCCAAAAAGCTAATGAAAGCAAAATTTCACCTTATAGCACGACCCAGTGCATACTTCCAAATCAACAAAACCACATCTCCAGAAGATCAAAGTTATGGAATGGCCAAGCCAGGGCCCGGACCGGAATCCAATTGAAAATCTGTGAGTGACCTGAAGAGGGCTGTGCAAAGGAGATGCCTTCACAAGGACAGATCTGCAGTGCTTTTGCATGGAAAGGCAGGCAAAGATTCCCAAGGCAAGATGTGCCATGCTGATATAATCCCGCCTCAAAGACAGAATTAGGTCATTATCAAAAGTATTAGTTTAAAAAGGAGAATTATGAGGAGTGAAAATCACTGAGCCTCATAGTTCTAGCCGAGCTGCGACAATGAAACAGTCACAGGTCGGCTCAATAGATCGGGAAGTGAGCGAACACATAGCGTCGCTCGCTTCTCGATCTATCCCTGCATAGAGCCGTGACTGTCACTCACGGCTCTATGGATCTTGACAGTAATGTCGGGATCAGTCTCGGCTGCGGCGTCTCAGTATACCGCAATCTGTAGCTCAACACAAAAAAGCTTAGGGTGACGGGAGGACGCTAGTTTGTGTCCTCCAGTTACCCTTAGAATTATGGGGAAAAGCCCTGACCCCATAGTTCTCCTTTAAGGGTGCGCATATTTACACATCCCCATTAAGTTTTTTCCTCCCCTTTAAAGTCTGTTTTAATTAAATAGAACAGTTTATGGGTCACAA